ATATATATTTTGCTACTAACCCGTATTCCTGGAACTACTAACCTGCTTTACCAGTTTGTATTATTACGTTAATACATTATTTTCATATATTCATTCCTGGCGTTTGTTATTTATTATTACCGGATTTCAACACGGAATCCACACACACACACACACACACACACACACACACACACACACACACACACACACACATATATATATATATATATATATATATATAATTCCATCCAAAAGGAATTAAGATTATTACCAATTTCACCTACAAATTAAAAATAAAATGCAGGATTTTCAAACCACCGAATGGATAAGAAAAACTCAAATGAGACTGGCTTCAAAACAAATTTAATAAAACAGAACAAAACGATATATATATATATATATATATATATATATATATATATAGAGAGAGAGAGAGAGAGATAGTTTCACCCAACACTGCAAATTGTGACAAAACCTAAACATTATGTACTTTAATAGCCTCCTCAGATCAAGACTTTTCTATCGATGTCATGCTGGGCGACGAACCGGTTTCATCGGAAATATCTAAACTGTTAGGTGGATACAACAGCTTTCTCAGATCAATGGTTAAAAATGGGTTTGAGTGAGTGGAACTTATGGATTCTGGTGAAGACATCACTTCTTCAAAACTCTCTCCCCCCATATATATATGTATGTATATTAGGTACTGTCAAAGAAACACTATGACTGAGGTTCAAAATTAATTTTTAAAAGTGAAAATCTTTCTTGAAGCTATTAATTTCAGGCAAATAGATTGAGTTTTAATATTTATTATAAGCAATATATATTCTATTTTTCAACCTGCACACACACACATATATACATACATATATACACACACACACACATATATATATATATGTGTGTGTGTGTGTGTTTATATATATATATATATATATATATATATATATATATATATATATTATTATCATTATTATTTTATTTCCTTTGATTTCTGTTGTATCCGTGTCCCAACTAGACACCTTAAATCAGAAATGACATCATGACATTTTCCACAGAACGTTTTTTAAAAAAACAAACCACAAGATAACAAACATTTTACATAGGTACACACACACACACACACACACACACACACTCTCTCTCTCTCTCTCTCTCTCTCTCCATCTCTCTCTCTCTCTCTCTCTATATATATATATATATATATATATATATATATATACAAATAAAGAGAAAGAACAGAAAGTGTATAAGAACTGTTCAAAAGTTTTTCAGAAATTTTGGACATTTGTACGAACAAAAGAAAAATTAAATCGAAAGTTTAATCGCATTAACTTGTCAGTTTTCTTTGACGAAATTTGTATAAAAGAGGGATTGCTGCCCAATTATATATATATATATATATATATATATATATATATAACTTACACAGTTGAGGATTCCGTTCAGTAACCGATAGTAACGGTTTAAATTATTGTGTGCAAAAATGAGTAATAAATCATAGACCGTGCTTTAAATCATTCTAGAGGTTATTGCGTGCGAATAATTGTGAATCCGAATGCGGTTATTTGTCGCTATTTTATAGTGTTAACTTTTTACTCATTATTTATAATTGGTTACTTAATTCTTTGTTGATTATTATTGTTATTACATTTACTCGTGTTTATTTTTGCATTCATAGTTTGATCGTTTGCTTATTATTTACTTAATCTGTTCATGTGTTTATTTAGATCTTTTGTGTATTTTATTTTTTCGGTTGTTGGTTATCTTTTAGTTTAGCTTAAAGTATTGGATTATCTGCGTTGTATACAGTGAATATATTTACATTTCTTTATTGTGATATTTTACAAGGTATTCATTTTTTTAGTTTACGATTAAACGTGGTAAAGATTTGTTTTCGTGTTTGCATTTTTAGATAATTTCTAATCATATATTTAGTAATTTGTGTTGGTCTGGGAAGGCGATTATAGATATTTTCTCCTCCAGACGGAGTTCACAGTTTCTGGATTTATTGTTGTAGACTGGTACTGTTTTCTTCTGATATTATTGGTGTAATTTGTTTTTGCATTTAATTCCCCATATATGTTTAAAAAGCTGTTCGCTTATTTAATATTTGTAAAGTATGTATTGTCTGAGTAGTTTATCTGTTTCCAGGGGCTTTCAGTTACTCCTATGCATATTTTATTTTTCGTTATCTGCTGAATTTACAGTGGATTGTATATTATGTTGTTTTGTAAGCAATTTTCGTTTAAGGGACATTCGTTTTTTACCCTGCAGTTACAGGTGGGCTTGCTTTGTGCGAGTGGCTTCTTTATTTTTCTGTTATGCTTTTTTATTATTTGTGTCATGTTCTCGGTGCAACTGTAGCTGATTTTTACTTTCTTTTGAATGTGCCTGAAAATTTTTCCTACGTTTGTTTTTGTTGAACGATGGGTTAAACCATATGATGTTTCTCTTCCTGTTGATTTTTTACTGTGTGGTGTGTATGTGAGTGTTGCACAAAATCCACTATCTTTTAAGGCTGTTTCATAATAGTTTTTCGCTTCGCTGAAGATGATTTCATTAGAGGAATTGTTCGTTAATTGTTGTATCTGCATGTATATGTGTTTTAAACAGACTGCCATCGCTCGGTGCTGACATCAGTGTCCATTTTTATGTTTTAAATTTAAGCACACTCCATCCCTGATATCATTCATTTTATCCATAAATATAGCATACTTTAAAATTATATCGCTGTCACACACACACACACACATACACACACACACACACAAATATATATATGATAAAAGGTATGCTCAACTATTTATATATACATGTTAGTAATGCATTGTGGATAGTCTATTGTATTGTTCTAAAAGTTATTTTGGTGGGCGGTATAGGTTGTGTTTCGAATTATTCTAGAGGCTATAGAATGGAAATAATTGTGGATCCGGATGCAGTTTTTGGTTATTCATTGTGTTGCTTGTTACCTTTAAAAAAATATTATTGATTATTTTATTGCCGGTTGTTATTATTACGTTTATTTGTGTTTATATGTGCTATAGAGCTTTGTTAATTTGTTTATTATTTACTTAATTTATTGATTGGTTTGAATTGATTTATTTTACTTATATTTATTTATTATTTTATTTATTTTTGTTCGTTTATAGTTTTCGATTTTTAAGTAACGTAGTAAAAAGTGTTTTTATGTCTACATTTTGAGATGAAATCTAATCGTTTATTTAGTAGTTTGTCTGGGAAGGTGATTATAGCTATTTTCTGCTCCAAACGGAGTTCACAATTTTTGGATTTATTATTGTAGTCTGATGCTGTTTTCCTTATTTTCCATAATATTTTTGGTGTGATTTTTTTAATCTCCCAGATGTGTTTAGAATGTATTTTGCTATTCGTGTATTTACTATTTCTATATGCTGTTTTGTGTGCGTAGTTTCCCTGTTTCCATGGTCATACAATTATCCTTATGTATGTTTTTTCTTCGTTATCTGAGAATTTACTGTGGCTTGGTATATTACATTATTCTCTAAGCAATTCCCGTTTAAGAGATATTCGTTCTTTGTTCTGCAGTTACACGTAATCTATGCGGAGGGTTTGTTGGTTGTTTTCCTGTCATTCTTTTTTATTATTTGTGTCATGTTATCGGCGCAACTGAAAGAAGTTAGGAGTAAATCAGTGAAAAACAAAAAACAACGATAGACTGTTCCCACAACTTAAACATTCGACATTTATTGACCGATTATTTACAGTTAACCTATAGTATAGCTAACTATTCGATGTATAAAATCTTTCTTTTCAAACAGTTTTCCAGAAAAATAGACTCCCGAATTCCACTCTTTCTAGTATTGATGGAAATTTCCTTCCTAACCTTATGTTTAGCGGTAACTTGGAATTCTAACATCTTGATTATATCATTATTTCCTTTCTAGCCAAATGTGATATCCATTTTAGTTGTTGTTGGAAGTTTTCAAAGGTAGTTTTTGTTATTTGTTAAAGTTTTTGTTTGCGATTCTGTAGCTCCATAAGAACTGATGATTCATTCGCTGGTAGCAATTTTACCCATTGATCTGAAAAAAAGTTTGTATGTAGCTGTTATTTTACAAATTTCGGAACGAGTTGGACACCATAAGGAAATACTTTTATTGTTAGTCTACAATGATGTCCTGTTTTTTTGTTAAAGACTTGACACTATAACGATAGTGGGGTGATGTGAATTAACAGCACCTCCACACTTTGAGTGTAGTATATCTTTGCAAGTCAATATCATGTTTACTTTTTAATTTTGTGTTTATACAAGGAGTTTGAACGAAAATTTAAATTTAAGACACCAACCTGCTTGTACTCTCGTCGCGGCATGATGGGCTGTCTTTATGGAGAGGGTCCGAAAGAGTAAGAGGGAGGGAGGGAGAGAGAGAGACCAAAAGCATAAGAGAGAGAGAGAGAGAGAGAAAGAGAGAGAGAGATGAAGAAAATTTGGTGACATTGCAGTTTGGTGAGTGCACGTGTCGTCGGTGACTTTTAAAATGTTTCACAGAAAAAAAGGTCAAAGTTGAATATCAAAACTTTGCCAAACAGGTCGTTTGGTCAGGCTATGAGTCATCTTATCGAGCCACGATGTTAATTTTTCAAGAAGGACATTGTTTACATATAAATCTTCCGCTCTGTATGGGATGTGTATGGGTAGCCACGATATTATACTAGGAAGTTGTCTGTCGGGACAGAGGCTGTATGTTGGCAAACATGATTGCTAGAAATAGAAATCAATGTTTCTTTTTTTTATTGATTGGTTGGTTTCCTGCGGCTTATCAACCTTTTGAAGATTATTCAAAGCCAGAAAATATTTTTAAATTGTAAGAATATTTTGCGATAATAATGATTTAGTGATACAAGTCTTAATAATTAACCCATAGCTGAGGGGAGGTGGATTCATGCCTTCACCAAGTGAATATAACGAACACAACTGGAATTGAAACTCAGCTCTCCGGTTAACAATTCTAACCATTACACCACCCGCATATCCAACTTGGTATTCCCAAGAGGTCACCCATCAGGGTACTGACCAAGCTTGATGATGCTTAACTTCGGTGGTCGTACGGAAACAGGTGTTTCAACGCTACATGGCGGTAAGCCATAGAGATCAACTGAACACAGTTAAGACTGGAGCCAGAAGAAAGGGAATATGTTCCATGTTTCTGCATATATTATCCATATATCTCTCTCCTCCGTATATATATATATATATATATATATATATATATATATATATATATATATATATATATATATATATATATAAGGATAGATAGATAGATAGATAGACAGAGAGAGAGAGAGAGAGAGAGAGATAATGTGAATATGTTTCATTGTTATCGGAAAAATTCTTACAATTTAAAAATATTTTCTGGCGTTGAATAATCTTCAGAAGGTTGATCAGCCGGAAAAAACGAAACAATCAATTAAAATAACTGAGCGTGCTGATTGCAGATTGCTGATATATTGTTGATTTCTTTCTTTGACATATTGCTGATTTATTTTTCAAAAACTGTAACTAAGGTCTGCTCAGCATAGTGACAGTAGAGTTGTGCTCTGTATGTGTTGAACAAAACACACATTTGCCTGAGCAAGCGTCTACAATAGAGATTAGCTATCCGCCGTATTAAACGGGTATCCTTAAATACAAGTGGCCAGCTGTATCTATCTATCTATCTATCTATATATATATATATATATATATATATATATATATATATATATAAAAGGCTCAAACACTAATATTCCATGGTTATGATTTATTGCATTGGAATTGTAATCACGATCCAATTCATCAGACCTACAAATTCTCCTGGTCGTTGAGTTCTACCTGGATTCTATCCTCTAGGGAATTTATATATATATATATATATATATATATATATATATATATATATATATATATATATATATATATATATATATGCGATAAGAACGAACGTAATATATAAATTACAATGTTCACAGCATTAACCCAAAAGAGGGCTCGATACCGATAGTAGAGCGATAATTATTCATTTATTATTTTTTTGGCATATAGACAAAACCATTTTACTCAACAAAGATGCAACTTGGTTTCAGTGCATTTTAACTGCACTTCGACGAGTGAGAATCGAAAATGGTTATGAAAAATCCTGCTTGTAGGCAAGCCGTATGTGAAACATCACTTCCTTTTTTCCATTTGATTGAGAAGAAAAATATACATAAAAAAAAAAAAAGTAGGTGACGGATTGGAACAATGTTGCTTGTTAATAGCAGTTTGGTGAAGAATGGATTGGGTGTTTAATGTTGACTGGTCTGTGGAATTTTTTTACCCGATAAGCAACGGTCAAAAGTTTAGGCACATCATCTCACAATCGAAAGTACAGTTGAAATGCACTGAAACCAAGTTGCATCTTTGTAATGAGTAAAATGGTTTTTTATCTATCTATCTCTCTCTCTCTCTCTCTCTCTCTCTCTATATATATATATATATATATATATATATATATATATATATATATATATATTGACCAATAATATATATATATATATATATATATATATATATACTTCCATGACATGCGTCTCAAATAGCCTCTGACAACTCAGAGAATGGACGAAGACGAAATACTGCTGCCTCATAACCAACTGCTTCGGGAAACTGGACCCTCGACAACCCAGGCAAGCAGAATCTTGCAAGAAAAAATGATTTTAAATCTCCGCAGCCTTGCAGTCATATATAAGTACCAAACAGCCTATGGAAATAAATCCAGACAGAAAACCTGAATGTGGTTGGTTATCAACACTGACATCTTTCCTGTAACTCCTGCAATCAAGCTGTCCCCAAATGTAATGCTCTGTATTCCTTTGGATCTTGTCGGTACGGACGAGAGGTAGTGGGAGCATGCTGTCTGGGCAGCACATGGCCTCCATACACCATCGCCCAGGCCAACGCCCAGGCCAACGCCCAGGCCAACGCCCAGGCCAACGCCTAGGTCAACGCCCTGGAGAGGTCACTCCAGGTTCACCGCCAAAGGACTGAATGTTGAAAAACAAGGCGCCAGCTATCTATCTATCTATCTATCTATCTATCTATCTATCTATCTATCTATCTATCTCAGTCTCCTCATTATCTATCTATCTATCTATCTATCTATCTATCTATCTATCTGTGTGTGTACTAACGCTACAAAATCACAATCGAAGTGTTTCCCAAAATAACAAAGACTACATGAAAACAGTAGCGAAAAAAATGATATAATTAAACTGTGAACTTTTGATAATACCAAAAACGAAAACAAAACCACATCAGTACTAGAAAGAGCAATAACATTTAGTGGACTGATTTCCTGAAAAACAGCTTTAAGAAAAAGATTTTAGGAATTTCAACCAAGAATAACACTAGCAGCAATCTGGCCAATGAATCCTGAATATTTCCTGTACGGAAACAGTTATTTTTACCATTATCCTTATCTATTTGCTTTTCTGTGTGTGTGTGTGTTAGGAAACCCGGTACGTGTGGGCATGAGTGAGAATTCGACGGAATAATAAATATATTAAAGAATATCTATCTATCTATCTATCTATCTATCTATCTATTGTTGATTCCAATATCTACATTGTCTCTACAAAAACACTCTCTCTGATATTGACCACTTTATAAATTCCGCACTATATGTCTGTCTGTTTAATTTTTTTATTGTATTTTTTAATTTTTCGGATAAGGTGTTGAATCTTGTTTCTGAAGTAGTGAATAAACTGTCCGAAGTTCATATTTTGCAAGTTTTGTTCAATATTAAGAACCGATGTAGTGTCTGTGTGGTAGTTAGAATTCCTTTGTCTGCAATCCTGGTATTCTTAGGGGAGCTGGACATTGGAATGGTCTAGCGTAATGGGAATGAGGCCGTGCATAAAGAATGCTATTTATTTATTTATTCAATTTAAATTTTTATTTCATTTTATCTTTATTATTAAAATACTAATAAAATATGTGCGCATATCAATTATATAATATGCACTTTAAGATACCTTCTCCTGTGGTGAATGATATTTTATTTAATCTGGGCTGTTTATATCTATCTATCTATCTATCTATCTATCTATACACACACATATATATATATATATATATATATATATATATATATATGTGTGTGTGTGTGTGTGTGTGTGTAAGAAATAAGACTTATATACAGACACATAAGTTTTCATATGAGCAATGTGAAGTCTTTAGAAGGAACCAGAAATCCAATCCTAAACGGGAAATAAGGGATAAACTGCTACGCCTGTTTTCGAATGTCTGGGAAGGAGGGTGGACCGCTTCGCCTATCGTCCGGTTCACACACCTCCCCGGTCTTTTGAACAGGAATGCAGGTTTATCCCTTGATTCCAGTTTAGAATTGGGTTTCCGGTTCCTTCTAAAGTCAATTCATTTTCTTTGCCTCTCAGTAGATCCATGCGTCCTTGTGGCATTATCACTTTGCTTGGGGTGAATTGATAAAAAAAAACTGTGTATAAATATGCGATGGTAATTTTTAAAAACGCGCCAAATATGTGTATATGTTTAAGGTGGACAAGCTATCCCTGCCAAGAAAAAGAATTTACCCTCATTATTTCAAGCGTTTAGCCTAGGAAGACAAAACTAACCTTAGTATCTATCTATCTATCTATCTATCTATCTGCATGCATTTATACTAAGAATAAATATACATTTGATCCTCACCGTTTGATGTAATACTGTGTTTCATGCCCGTAGCAATCGTCAGGCACAAAACTAACCGTTGCAATACATCAATATTTATAACTTGCTGGTAAGATGGTGAAGCAGTTCATTTACTTATGAGAAAAATAAATAAGGTTGTAAATAAAGTGGTAAAAACAAATTGATTAAAAAAACAGACAAATAAATTAAGAATAAATATATATGTTATAAAATATATATAACATTTCTAAAAAGTATAATAGTAATAAAAATAATAATATTAAATATTTGTATATAGAGAGAAAATAATGATAATAATAATAATAAAAATAATGATAATAATAATAATAATAATAATAATAAGAATAAGAAGAAGAAGAAGAAGAAGAAGAAGAAATTTAAATTAAAATTTTTTGAAAGATATGTTTTGTGCATATAGTTTAGCCAGTTTCATTAATTTCTTTTTCTTTTTGTTTATTTTTCCATCACTTTTGTTGTTAAATATCCCACATTGTAGATGTGCCAAGAATGATGAAACGCTGTAATAAACTGGCCACAAATTTACACATGATCATCTATCGATTTAAACACTTTCTATACATTTTCCTCTTAGAAAATTGCTTCCTCTTTTAATTAGAGTAACATTTTAAATCAGAATTATGGTCAGTCGCCTTACGATGAACAACTAATGCATTTAATGTGTTATTTTGTAAAAGATCCCTTTTGTGTTCATATAATCTTTTATTTAAATTCCTTGAGGCTTCTATGCATCCTTTATGGCAATTATTGATGGTGATAGAGTAAATTCCACCTTCATATATTTTTTTTATATATATATATATATATATATATATATATATATATATATATATATATATATATATAGGCAGCATATCTACATTCAATCACATCACATTGTGTAGCAGTTTAAAAAGACCAACATTGTATAACAGTTTAAATATTCTTCTGGAGATTGTATCTCTGCCAAAAAAAGTAAGTACACATATTGGTTTGATAACCACAACATTATCAAAACGTCTTACACTTCATTTGTCGGATACAAATTCTATTGCACAACATCTAAAAACATATTCTTGTCGACCTTCACAATACAGGAAAATACTCGTTGACAACACCAATATACTACACCATGAAAATAATAAACAAAGACATCAAATTTTTGTGGCCGTCTTTATAAAAGTTAATCAACAAACACTCAACAAAATTTATTACAAATGTAGCAGCAACGTAATGATGTGCATATGACAAACATTTAATGCCATTTTGCATTTCTAGCAATATCCAAACAGCTTCCTTATATTGCAATGCATGTTTTGCGAAAAAGAAGCTTCAAATTTTAAAATAATTACAGAGTGCGTTCGCGCGTGTTTTATTAAAAATGAC